TTACTCCCGAATGCACTTAGTAACACAACTGTGTTGTTGTGTAGCTGAATCTGTCATGTTTGCTAATAAGACAGACGTGTTATTGGACATTGCTGCTCTTACAACAACTGCCTGGATAAAGCTTTAATTAAGGTTTTTAAAAGCAACGTGTGAGTGTTAGCCATTAGTGTCACGTGACTCCAGCCAAGCACATAATAGTTGAAGGTTCACTCAAACTTTGATTTTGGTCTTTTGCACAAGAAAAATCATTGATGCAAAAAGTACAATAGTGGAGAACCAAAGATGAGTCTAACAAACCAAACTTGTGCCTGTTGAGGGGTTACTATCATGCTGTGATGCTACATGACTTTATGAACTCCTCACAGAGGACGCCTCAGGCGGCATGTGTTCTGTAAAATGACAAACAAATCAACAGCTGATCTAAAATCTAGACACACACAGAAACATGTCTACGATGCTAACGAAGAAAGAAACAAATCACACGTCCCACAACAAAGTCAGCCCGTGTTCGCTGAGAGCGAGCTCTCTGAGCCACTGCGTGTAATAAATATGTCAGCAGAAAGGTGATCGTCAAAGAGCTCAGCAGAGGGAAAAGTCAGAGCTAAAAACAAGCTGACAGTACCATCCACCAATCAGCAGCCTGCTCGGCTGCGTGTATGTGACAGCAGTAATCTCTTCAGACTCCATAGTTGACGGAGCTCAGCGCTGGTCTCTTCTTGCCTTTAATCTTCAGTGATCCGTAACGAGCCTGGTGACGACATTTAAGAAAAACACTCGTTAGTGTTCAACAGTCCAGAGATGCAGCACTGCTGACTGTGGCAGAAGGATTTATCAACACACTAATAACACTCACGTCTTTGCGAACTCTGGATCGAGACAGCTTGACGCTCTGCGATCGCCTCAGTCCTTTCTGACTGACGGCCTCGTCCTCAGAGAAGGTTGGCTCGGCCTCTTCGTCCGTCCTTTCCTCCTGATCGTAATAGTACTCTGGAGAACAAACACATACAGATGCGTCAGGAATCACCAAAACACACAATGTTTGCATCCATCTATTCTCCATCTGCTCACCCTGCACAGGTGCTCAGTGCTAACACAGAGAGACGCTCACATTCACAG